AGCAATACATAACCGCTGAGTTGAGTGGAGAGACTCGCTATGGCTGCCATGAGTCCCAAAGCTTTCATTACTGTCATTTCCAAAGATTATTTATTTAGTTTACGACAGAGTCTTGATACTTGAATAAAGAGAAAAAAAAATTGTGAAGGATTTTTATCTGTGGGATCTCAGGATATCTATGTACTTATGTGTCTTCACTTTTACTTTCATTAAAACTAAGAGTTGTCTGCAATTGATGAAAAGTTACAGCAAGTACTATCGGGATCTTTTCTTTGCTCCTGGAATGAGTAACTTGATGTCCATGTTAATATCCTCATGGGATCCCTTTACAAGAAGTCAAGCAATATCCAAATTTCATCAAAAATTAAATCTTCTTTGTTCATCAGTTTTGTCATATCAATTTTGCTTTAGCTTTCCGAGTAGTTTTTTTTTTTTTTTTGTCTTTTTTTTCTTGCTCTTTGGCAAGTTCTTTGAATTACAGTTTAAAAGCATTGATATTCTGCTTTTGTTTCATATTAGAACATTCACATAATGTTGGACTTAATATGTACATGGAACAATTCATTATTCATGTTCATTGCATTCTGATATTTGGGGATCTTCATGAAACTATCTGCTAGGTTAATCAAACTGTTTATACAACACAGTTGATCTTTTATATAATATATTCAGTATGTTGCAGGAATAAATACCATTGATATAATATGATTTTGATTTAGTACCTTACAGGGCAAAAATTATTCAAGTGACACACATGTATCTTGTGATTTAGAATTGATTTAGAATATACAAATATTGCAATTAATCTTAGCAGTCACTTATGAATATTAATTTTACCTTAATATCAGCTATACAGAACAAACAATATAATTTCATGGGTCAATAAAATATTAAGTATTATTACATATATTTACTAAAAGTGGTAAAATACACTTTCCGTCATTGACAACTGGCCATAAATCACACTCATTCACCGCTATGAACCTGTTACATTGACACTTTCCAAAGACAGCTGTCAGGCATCCATTCAAGAAATAGGCCATGGGTACCAGGTGTACCTCTGTGTAATGTGTAATATGGAAAAATTCTATAACAGTGTTGACTAAGGAAAATTGTAATTATAATTGTTATATTTAACTTTCTTTGAGAAACAATACAGATGAGGTCTAAGAACAATAGCAAAGGATTTTATAGTGATCAAAACATTCAGATAGTTATTGGAATTAATGAATAGTGTTACTTCATACGTGTTTTTTCATCTAAAAGGTGTTTTCACAGACAAACTTATAACAATTTATAATTATTGTAGCTTAATCCCATTCTTGTGATCAGTAAATCCTTGACAGATGAAGAAATTTGAAATATATAAATATTACATCGAATGAGACAGTGTTCTTAAACATTACAAATTGTTTTAAAAATTCAGAACTTGATAATGATTTGATTTTACATAAACTATAAATTAGTTAACTGTTTGAAATAAAAGAAATTATACTACAGATTTCTGAATAGGAATCAAACTGATAATTTACCAGTAACAGAAATATTACAAGACCTAATTTATTATTTTTGATAACTACGATTGATTTCTAAACAGAACCACATTAAACTAAACTTGGGAAACACATTAAAAACAGGAGAACTAGCTTAACTTCACCAGGCAAATGTGAATTCTTAACATTTAAATATTACTATGTGTATAGCTTATATATATATATATATATATATATATATATATATATATATATATATATATATATATATATATATATATATATATATATATATATATATAACTTTTAATGTACAGAACTGTTCAGTAAAGTGAATGTAGAAGAAATTTCAGACTTTTTTTTAATAAAATTTTAACATGTCTCTGTCAGCCATTCACTGTGCAGGACTTTCTATGCTCCAGCAACAGAACAGGTATCTTAAGAAGCGCAACACAGAATCCAATACGCTTTTCACTTCCTTTTCTGTCATTTCTTTCTTCTCCTGTTTCATTTTGACCATTGCTTCCAGAGACTTAACAAGACTTTCTTGTTTATTCTTTGCATCTTCTTCCTTGGCTTTGGCAATGGCTTCTTTCACACTGATTGACTTTGATTTTGCCAGTTCACCTCCCTTATAAGACGAGGCATCAAAGCTTTCACCACTGGTGCTATCGTCTTTTCTCGTTTCATTTTCATAGCCGTGGGTTTTATTTTCCATGTCTTTCATAAGGCGTTCCATGTCAGCATCTTCAGGTGTTGTCCAGTCTTCACTAGTCTCTTGTGTACTATTCTGTTCATCATTCAGGTCCACCTCAGCCATATAATCCTTCTCTTCCTTGGCTAACTTGCCTTGCTTTTCTTCGTCACTTTCCATGCTCACAGCTGCTGCTCTGACATTCCTCAAAAAGTCAACTTCCTTTTCTTGAATGAGTCTCTCAAATAATTCATTTGCTAAGATGGTCGTTCTGTCTTCAGTCTCATCTTGTTTATCAGCCTCTTTGTTTTTG